TGATGATGATGATCTTGATGATCTTGGCACCTTGGAGACTGATGGAGCACAAGACTGATGTCTTCTTCCTCAGATGCATTTGGAGATAATGATGATGATGAGAGGAGACCTTGGCACCTTGGAGACTGATGGGGCAGGAGACCGAAGGGCCTTTGCAGACTGCCAGAAATAGTACAAATTGAGTCCACTTTAACTGCCCTGACTCAGTGCTAGGGAATCATGGGAACTGTATTTTATTGTGGCACCAGAGCTCTCTGACAGAGAAGTCTCAATGTCTCAGAAAAAATACAATTCCCATGATTCCCTAGCTCTCAGCCAGGACAGTTAAAGTGGACTCAATTTGCACTATTTCTGGCAGTCTGCAAAGGCCCTGAAGTCTACTTCCTCAGGTGCATTTTGATATGATGATGATAAGGATGATAATGATGATGATGATGATGTAGTGAGATCTTGTAGCACCTTTGAGACTGACTGAAAGAAAGAAAAAAGTTGGCAGTCTGAGAGACTTGTAGCCCCTTTGAGACGAACTGAAAGAAAGAATTGGCAGAATGAGCTTTCCTAGACTAAAGTCTACTCTACTACTTCCTCAGAGGCATTTGGATATAATAATGATAATGATAATGATGATGATGATGATGTAGAGAGATTTTGTAGTCCTCTTGAGATTAACTGAAAGAAAGAAGTTGGCAGCACGAGCTTTCATAGACTAAAGACTATTTCCGCAGATGCATTTGGATATAATAATGATAATGATGATGATTATAATAATAATAATAATAATAATAATGTAGAGAGATCTTGTAGTCCCTTTGAGACTAATTGAAAGAAAGAAGTTGGGAGTATGAGCTTTCCTAAACTTCAGTCTATTTCCTCAGATGCATTTGGATATAATGATGATGATGATGATGATGATGATGTAGAGAAATCTTATGGCACCTTGGAAACTGACTGAAAGAAATAAGTTGGCAGCATGAGCTTTCCTAGACTTAAGTTTACTTCCTCAGATGCATTTGGATATAATGATGGTGATGGTGTGGAGCAGTGGTCCCTAAAGTGTAGGGGAGCATTGGAAAGCTCCAGGGGGGCATTGGGGGGGAAGTGCAGGGGGGTGCTGGGAGGAAAGAAGGGGGTGGTAGGGAATTGTGGGATAGGGGGTTGCCATTACTGATGAAAATCTATGAAAGTCCCTGGCTGAAGTCTTTGTAAACACTCCTGTCCAGTTCAAGCAGCATGTCGTTCCTGAAGGCAGGGATGAAACCTTGAAAACACTGGTCAGGATCCTGCCCTTGAGGCTCCAGTGGTGCTGTGCAGCCCTACCTGACCCAGAGCCCAAAGGCGGCAAGAGAAAGGAAGCAAGAAGAGGCTTGAGCAGGAAAGAGGCTTTCTTTTCTCCCAGTAAGTCAGTGACAATGCTGCATGCATGGAGGGACCTTTTTTTTATTTTTGCTTGGGACTGGAGCTGCCTTTCCTCCCCCGCTCCCATGCTTTCCCCTGTGTGCTATCGATGGCTCCCTCAGCCAGCTATAGAACAGGGAAAGAAAGAGAAACACCATCCCCATGCTTTCCCCTGTGTGCTATAGATGGCTTCTTCAGCCAGCTATAGCACAGGGAAAGAGAGAGGAACACCCACCCCCCATGCTTTGATGGCTTCCTCAGCTAGCTATAGCACAGAGAAAGAGAGAGCAATGCCTCCCAATGCTTTCCCCTTTTGATGGCTTCCTCAGGTAGCTCCCAGAACTACAGTTCCTAGAATTCCATAGCCTTGAGCCATGGCTGTTAAAGCGATCTCAAACCAGATTATTTCAGCCCTGAGGATGCAGCCCTAGTC